TGATTAATTGAAGTAAATTATGACATATTTTAATTACTGACTATATATATTATAGTTCTAAGATCTTTATATAAGCTATCTGACATTTAATTACATTTTATGTGAAGCTTCTCTATTAACTCTATAATACTGTTACAGTGTTATTCATCTTTTTTCTATGTAGTTATTCTCTATTAATAGTTGTGAATTACATGGAATTCATCTATACAAATCACATGTAACTGTTCATATTCATGAATATCTCATTACATTCAATCTGAGGGATTAAACAGCATGTTTTTCAAGCTGAATAAGTAAGTGCAAGTGAGTGATTGAGGCTTGTAATAATAATAATAACTGTATTCAATAAGTTATCGGATATATATAATCCCGCAGCTACATTACGTCATCGGTGAGGCCCCCAAAGAAGACAAACAACGCAAACACAGCAAACCCCAGGCAAGCGCATTCTTGAAGCCGCGACATCATCGCAACCAACCGCCGTTTAATCAAGACATCAAAAGACATACTTTCCTGTATCGTATCAACAAACTGACGGGCTTCATCCAACCAATCTCACCGCACTGCATACCCGGTCGCCTTTTAAACTGCGCAGGTAAAAGCACTCGAGCCGTTTCGAGTGCCTAATTTCTAGTGCAACGTCCGTTTTCTAGCCGTTTACGTTGCATCATCCGCTAGGCGACCGACTGGAAGCTGTCTTAAGACAGGAATACTCCGTAAATAAATCCATGTTCGGGATCTGCCATTGACCAATGGAAGAGAGGCAATATCGTGTCTACATACATTCGTTCTTTTTTCTTCAGTTGAGACCAACCTACCTGTTGCATTACGAGACTAGAATGTTCACTTACTTCAATAATTTCTGCAACGTTTCCACTAAGTGATTCACCATGGCTTTGAGAAAGGATTTGCCGAACGATCCAGATGGCCAGGACGACGAGCGCAGTCAGAATGACCTGTCGTATCGAGCCTGGGACCCTATCCCTTCTGCCCAAGTATCTCCGTCGTCACAAGCTACAGCCTCCCAGCCGGAATTCTCCGACTCTGCTGCACCAGGCTTAAATCATGCACCCCCCTCAGGTGTTGTGTGTGATGAAGTGCCCAACCCTTGGACTCAGGAATTAGCATATCGCCCGGCTACTAGAGAATTACCGCTTTCGTCACAACCTAGTGAATTAGATGATCAACGATTGCAAGAAAGCTGGCAGCGTGAAGGATGCGCAGGAATACAGGATTTCTCTCGAGGGGAGCCTGAGAAGGAACAAGATGGTGCTGCCATTTTTGATTCACAGGACAAGCCTTCTACGAGCTCTTCCACCGAAGACGGACGGCATACTACTAGCCCTGGACAGCTTCGTTCAAACAATCCTTTCCTGAAGGCTAGACACAACAGTGGTGGCCTGCTAAAACAATCTATACCTGGCCTAGACCCATTTGAATTTCCGCAATCCAGTAGCTTGGATGGCCATCAAGACGGTAGGTTGTTCCAGTCAGATGCCACGTTACCCCCCCACATTACGATTCTAATCGCTCGTTGTGTTAGTAGGCGAATTGGTTACACATCCGTATAATTCAAACGGACCGGATGGAGAGCTTTCTAAGTCATCTTTTCACATACCCTATGAACACGGCCATTATGACCTTGACACTGAACCTGGTCCGCGCGGAGCAGGAAGTTCCAGCCCGTTCCTAGAAGAAGGGAAGGCGCCGTTAGTTTACGGGCCTCCATCTATATTAATCCAGTCTTCAGACCCATATCATCATTTAGACAAAGTGGATCATATGGACCAAAATTTACAACCACCTAGTTCTAGTCAATCAAATTCTTCCCGGAACCTTATAAGTTTCGAGGAAGAAAACGAACCCAACGGAAATACCACGACGGATGCACCATCTATGAGCAGCGTAATTGATGACCATCCTAAGGACCTGCCAAATGAGACCCCATCCATATCTGATGAATTGGATTCATCCACTTCGATGTCTGTTACTGCTGGAACGTCGCTTGAGCAAGTGAAACCATCTCTGTCGCATCTAAGTGAATCTGGACAGCCGCCCGCCATATTGCAGAAAAAGCTATCTGAAACTTATGACATTCGCCAGGTTAACTGGACAGATGGCACAACTAGTTTGCGTACATCGCCCGTGCTGGTGCAGAATGAAAACGGGCCGTGCCCGCTACTAGCCCTCGTCAATGGGCTTATGCTGCGGAGCAGAGCAGATTCCCCGTCGCCCATTACAAAAGCCCTTCAATCACGAGAGAAAATTTCGTTAGGATTGTTAATGCAAGCGCTGTTCGATGAACTTACTTCGTACTTAGATGGAGCTGACAAGCTTCCGGATATCGAAGCTCTGAGTTCCTTTCTTGTTATGCTACATACAGGGATGAATGTAAATCCACAGTTGGTAATGGTAAGCTTTTTATCCACGTAACTCCTGATGTTTCTGGCTTGAACGCCTAACACATAATAGCAAATTTATATGTCCGATTCGCCTGGAACCTTCCTTGAGACAAACGATACAATCCTCTATAGTAGTTTCAAGTTACCCCTCGTTCACGGCTGGCTTGCAGAGACGTCCTCTGCGGCCTATGCTGCGCTAAACCGTGTAGCTCAAAACCATGAAGATATACAGTTGCTCCACTTTCGAAAAGAGGAGCTGGAAAGCCGCGTTTTCCGTGGACAGCTTCTGACGACTGACGAGGAGAAGTTAATAGAAGATATCGACACAATCCAACACTTCGTTGACGTTGAAAACGCTACTCAGCTAAGCGCCTTTGGTCTCGAGCACCTTCAGAGATGCCTAAAACCCGGATCCATTTCAATTCTCTTCCGAAATGATCATTTCTCTACGCTTTTCAAACATCCGCTTTCGAACCAACTGTTCACTCTTGTAACCGATGCCGGATATGCCAACCATGCAGAAATTGTGTGGGAAAGTCTAGTCGATGTCAACGGAAGTAATGCTACTTTTTTTTCAGGAGATTTTCGGCCTGTTGGAAATTTTTCTCCATCTATAGCTGGACCTCAACATCCTAGCCAAAACGATCTTGCGATCTCAAGCGGGTTAACACATAGAAACAATCCAGATGGGACTACCGGAAGGCAATTAAACAACACAGAACAAACAGACGCAGACTATGCCTTTGCTTTGGCTCTTCAGTTTCAAGACGAGGAAGAACAACGGCGTACAAATCCACGCAATCAAGCGCAAATCCAGACACCACAGTTGCGAACGTCGCAATCTCAGGGGGTTATACATCACTCTAGCAACAGGCCGAACTTTAACCATCGACAGTCAGCGTCGTCCACCGGCCGTCGCGCACCCCAGCAAACGCAAGAAGTTCGATCACTCGTACCGCCACCCAGGACTTCAGTGGCTGACCCTAGCGCTGACGCTCCACCTCCAACGTACGAGCAGGCAGCCAACAGTCCAGTGTACACTCCTCCCTCAGACCACTCCCAGTATGATGGCTCTCAGAACAGCAACACTAGCATAGCTGGACCGAGATCCTCAAGTTATGGACTCAATAATACTGGACCCAATCGTGTCCACGATGGCCACAGACGTGTCCATGCATTGTCCAACCCCTCTCTTCCGCCCCGTCCTCGTGATAGGGATAGAAACAAAGATTGTACGGTTATGTGACAAATAAAGTTTTCTCGGGCACTTGAAATTTCACCTTCCTCCAAACGCACTTTCAAGCGATTCAAACAAATCTCGTCTTCTGTTTCATTTTTCGATTTCACCATTCCTTTTTGCGTTTTGATTCCAGGGACTCGCAGCTTACTGGGTTATGTCAATTGTACCTGTCCGTTACTGTTCAGTTGTGTGTTTTATGTTTTATGTTTTACGATATCATCAAATGTTTCTCTGTTTTTATTCCCCATGTTTTGCTTCTTATACCTCCCTGGTCATTTTGCGGCGTTATATCCTTGCTATCTCTTTCTCTCGAATGACGTTTTGGTCATTGATCCCCAGATTTATCTGCACAGCTCACTAATTGCTGCTTGTATTTAAGCGGGTGGCTATTATGACTTTGTTGCTGAGGATGAAATGTAAATCTTCTTCGAAACCCATTTTTCAACCTGAAGCATTGAGTAATTCACCTGACAAGGAATATTCTACATGTTCAAGATTCTGGAACGGTATGCAGAAATCGCCGGTGGCTGTCCCCGCATAATGAAATGTGAATGACCGGGGTCGATATTGCGCATGCTGTAGGTACATGTACTGTTAAGGAATGAACGGGTACTGCTCGTAAGGGGATGAATATTCTGCAGTTGGCTGTGCTGTTCCGCTGGGAAGTAGTGTTCACTCCTTACACTGAATCACAACTGAGGCTTAGTACTAAAATTGACACACTATCATCGGTCAGCTGGGGGTTATATAATGGAATATATCGAGCCGCCATGTAATATTTTAATTCTAATAATGGACATGAAGGATTGAGTACCAGGGCTCTTTGATGATGACAATGAACAATTCCGCTCTGGTTCATCCGCTCTCGTTCAAAAACAAAGCGTGGGCGTACGCCTGCCTGCCTTATTTACTCATGCTGCCTACAACTGGAGGGCTGGCTTGATCCTGAATATAGTTTAATGGAATCGTTGCGCCAATAAGGAAAAGTCCATGCAATTAACCTTCTGTTGTTCGAGGCTCATACAAATAAATTCAATACTTATGCTAGAAGGTAGAAAACACACAGAAACGACCGAAAACATGATATAATGGGTGTAATAATGCAGGGGAGAAAATGAAAAATGTAAATTGAAGGTAACACGTTTCACGTCCCGCCTCCCCCAGACTGATTTTACAAACAGGGGGGCGGACATGAAAAAGAAAAAGAAATAAGAAATGAGAATGAAATTAGCGAATGAAATGCTTAGGCAACAAAACATGTATGCACAGGAACGGGACCCGCCAGGGATTACAGATGAAATCCATAAAGATAGTGATTGCATGACCATTAAGAGAAAGGACGCATCCGAATTTCTATTTCATTGTCTCGAATCTTGCGAGTAAGCGCGGTGATGGGTCGGTCCAGGGAGTCTAGAATGAAGTTGTTGGTGTTGATGCTGATTCGGGTGCTGGTGCTGGTGCATTGGGTGTAACCCTTGTTGTTGCGGTCCCTGATTGGGGTGGGGAGCAACAATACCAGAAGAATAAGAAGGTCCGCCTGGGGAAGGTTGGTGCAAAGCGGATGGTGGAGTGTAAGGTCTCCCAAGATTTGCGTTCTGATGCGGGTTCGGTGAAGAAATCGAGATATTGCTGGATGTCCGATGAGCCGGTTGTAGGTGTGACGGATTGTGACCGAATGAACTAGTACTATGTTGATTTCCTAGACCAAGAGGGGAGATATGTTGAGGGTGATGTTGCTGTTGCTGTTGGTGGTGTCGGGGCTGGTGCTGGTGCTGCTGCTGTTGAGATTGGCGTAGTGATGATGTGGGGTGATGGTGAGGGGACGTAGGCGGAACAATGTGCTGCATGTGTTGAGACCCGCTGCCACTCTGTCCATTATGCTGGGGGTTGTGTCCAAGCTGATGCCTAGCTGAAGAATGATGCTGACGTTGCGGTGGCTGACTCAAGTGGCTCTGAGTATATGAAGAGTGCTGCTGCGTTTGGGGTAGGGCTGATGCTGAAATGTGGAGTGGGGAAGATGGCTGCTGTTGCTGCTGTGATGTCCGTCGAGAATAAGGTACTGAGGTGTGACGATGCTGTGGGGAAGATGGATGAAAAGGCTGGGCTTGTAATGTCAAGGGAGAATCACGTTTCCCAAGGTTAATATTTGACTGATGTTGAGATTGGCCCTGGAACCCGGCGGGCTGAGATTGCTGTACCGGCTGTGAGGGTTGCGGGTTGTATGACGAACGGTGCTGCTGCTGTGCCTGCTGGTGAAGATTCGACCCCGAGTTTGTGGCCTGTTGTGCGGTGCTCATGTATCCTAGGGATGGGGCTTGCTGAGCTGGTAAACGGGAAAGACCATGGTCGGTTGCTTGAGACTGTTGCTGACCCCTCGGGTCTAGCCTGGCCATCCAATCCTGGGTCGCCGTCCCAGATCCAGTCACAGAGCCAACAGAATAGCTAGAATATTCGGGGTATGAGCGGGAGGGAGTATTTGATAGTTGATTTTGTTGCGGTACTTGTGACTGCTGGGGCAGATAGTGCGACCTTTGATGCTGTAGCTGCCTGCTAGAGTGTACCGACTCTTCGCGAGGGGGAAGTTGCGATTGCTGAGACATTGAATGTGATATGGAGTATAACTGTGGAGTATTTGCCGCTGAGGATTGGTCACTCGCAAACTTCTTTCGAGACGGTGGTTCTTCAGCATCATCATTTAAAATGTTCATGATATTTGACCTTTTAGCAGGAACTTGACGTGGAGGCTCTGGAAAAACTTGTGCCGGGGTCGAGCTTGGACGAGCGGGTTCTTTGGCTGGTGATACCGCAGGTGACTGTTGCTTTATACCTATAAGTTGGCTAGGATGGGGAAGAGCTGATTTCGGTTGCACGGTCGTATCGTCACGTGGAAGAGAAGCTGAATCGAAGTCCTGTTTGGGCATGCGCTGCACAGGAGATGTGGCTGTCGGTGTAGGGAATAGCTTTGCTCGAACGTCTCGAATGTGTCCGTGCTACCGGGGTGATCGGGCTGTTTTGTCTGGGACTGCTGAAGGTACTGGGTTTTGAAAGTATAACGCCGGCTGCGCTAGTGACTGATACCGTAGCACCTCTTGAGCCTCTTGAGGCTGGGGCAGCAAATCGCTACGAGACAAATTTTGGGCATGTAAGGCGGAACCTCCACCATGACTTTGCATGGGGGCCGTATTCGGCTGCTGCTTCTGGCTTTGGGACTCCTGAGACTGCACGGTGAGCACCGGGGGGATAGGCATTAGGTGGCGCCCATCTCGTCGTTCGTCACTGAAATATCCGACTCGAGGGCCTTGCTGATTGCGCTGGGGTTGGTGCGGCTGGGGACGAATGGAACGCGGTTGCAATTCGTCGTTCACGGGTGGTACGGGAACCCCAGAGGCAGCTGTCGCTTGCGCAAGAGGATAAAACCTAGGCTGAGACTGATCCCTATCGGCTTGCGGCCGAGATTGAGTGGCTGGTTGGTGTGCCGCAGCTAGAGGGACTGCCGGGACCTTTGGTTTGGGGGCCAGCGATGCATCTGCTGGCTCCGTAGCTTCAGTGTTTGGTGCGAGGGGGCGTGGAGCGACAGAAGATGGTGTAGCTTCGTATCGCCGTTTAGGAGGGATATTTGGAATTGGTAGCGGACCTGGCGGTTCTCCACTCAACTTCTTCGCCTCAGCCATCTCAGCGTACTCCTCCAACAATGTTTGGCCAGAATCAACACGTCTCTGGAAGTAGTTTTTGACCTAATTGAGGTGTGTAACGAGTTAGCTAGGAAGTTGCGCCGGCTATCATATTTAAGGGATACTCATACCATTGTAGGAGTTTTGGTCCTCATATATTGGGAGATAGCCTCAAAATCTTTCCCGAAGTGCCTGATTAGATCTGGAAATTCTCGTTGCTCCGGTACAGACCAGTAACTAGTGGGCTGGAGAGCACCAGATCTGGGTTCGGCGGGTTTTGCTGGAGCTTCGGGTTCAGCAGCGTCGAAAACATAAACGGTTTCCTTGCTGCGAGCCTTTGTAGATTTTGCTCGGGGAACTACCTCATCGGCAGCGATATCCTTCTGTTCTTTCTTCTCCTTCGCAATCGGCAATTCTGGTACTGCATCTGCTGGCCCTTCTGGTTCAACTTTTGGAGGAGCTGAAGCAATCGGAGTCGCAAGTGAAGATTGCTGTGCCTTTGCTCGCCTGCCACCGCGTCCGCCTCCTCCCCTTCCGCCACGTCTGCTGGGAGGTTTCTCCACTCCCGGCTCAGCGGGATCCTTTCCGTGATTCCCTCTTTTCCCAGAGCTTGGCGTAGGTGTGTTATTCTCTGTCTCTGGACCAGCTTCGCCGAACGTTGGGGCCGCCGCCCGTCGAGGTCGGCCAGTATCAGTGACAGCGGGAGTTTCCACTTCCTCACCTTCGTATTCGGGCCGAACACCAAGATCTGACATGAGGGCGTTTGATTTTGGATTCCTGGTAGCAGGAGCCCTTTTTCCACGTCTTCGAACATATTTTCTGTTCAATTTGGCCTTATACTTGAATTCCTGCTTTGTGAAGTAGTAATGATTGATGCATGCCTGGAAGTCCCGGCCTGGAAGATATTCCGCAATTTTGCCCCACTTTTTGGGATGCTCTAAAAATGCTTCCGTAAAAATCTTTTGTTCCTCGGGGGTGAAATTGTCCGGCGTCGGGTGGAACGCGAAAACTTCATATGCAGCAGAAGGGTCTACGGTGTGGTTCGTATCCTTGAAGATAAAGGCTTGTTTCTCGTGTTCGTCGAACATATCTGGGATAAGCGCTTCTTTAGACGTATCCGGCCTTGCGGGCCCTTCTTTTTCGCGTCGACGTGCTTGCTCTTCCCGCGCAGTAATGGTAGATGCGATCAGCGCATTTTGGAAGTCAAGCTCGCTGTTAAGTTTGTAACCTCTTCGTCCTTCGGCGGTGGTGCTTGGAGTAGTAGCCGTTCCCGTAGCCGACGGCGGGGTGGGTGGACCTGGGGTGGTTGTCTTTTCTTGTCTACTCGTGCGATCTAGTTCCTCCACGGCAATCCTCCAAGGCTTATAATACTTAGCATACTCCCGTCGTAGCTCCTGATGATGGAGAGCTATTTCTTTACGCTGCTTGGCTAGCTCCCCGCGAAGAGCCTCTCTCAACCGGTCATGCGTCTGGATCGTTTCCTGATAAGCCTCTAGGTCAGAAAACGGAGTGGGTGGCCCAGATTGGAGGAAGGGAAGGTTATCGACTGATGGAACTTCGAGAGACGGGGCAGTGTGAGCCTGGGCCACTGGTGACGAGGGCTGCGGGATTTCAATTCCTTGGGCCTCCTTTGCTGACACTGGAATGACAGCTGGAGGTTGGTCCGGCCTTTCGACCTCAATCGCTGCATCTGGCAGGTCCATATAGGTTGGGGCAACCCCCTCGGCTATGATACCCAGCATTTGAATTTGTAACAGTAAGTCAACTATAACGGGATCATGAAGGGTTGGAGGTGGCATTTCGGATGTCAACGCTTGCATTTCCTTTGCAAATCGCTTCTCTCCCTCATTGAAGTCTTCTTCATCCAAGTCGTCTTCCTCGTCTGTTTCTTCACCACTGGATTGTCCAAACATGAGAGGAGTAGCAACTTGGTCCGCTATCGACGAAATTGAGGCACGTGGTGCGTGATCTTCCGAAGACACGGTCGCAGCTGCTCGGACGACATTGTTTTCAGCGTGGCTCGGAGGACGGTCGGTTCGCTCAGCAACTGGTGACGACTTGGAATCTTCCCGATGGGGATAACGCTCAAGTTCGTGAGGTTTATAAGGGTCAGACGCGCCAAAAGACCACCCTCTGTCCTTGTCGTCAAATACGTCACGTTTGATAGGTGATACTGAATTCATGATCGAAGGTCCACGATTTGAATACCCTGGGCGAACCCATTGGTTACTGACTTTAGGGGCGTTCCTTGGCGCATTGGGTCGCTGGAGAGCCCGTGGTCCCGTGGGTACGCTTGCGAAAGAGATTCCGGGAGACGTCTTCGGTCCTGGTGACTTAAATGGGGCGGCTGACGGAACAGGGGGTGAACCAGACCTACGGGATAGTGAAATACTTCTTCCCATTGATTGTGAAGTAGGCGGGGATCCTGATGAGGAGCTAGGTCGGGGGCTAACCCGTACCCCGAGAGGCAATTCCTGAGTCCTCGCATCTGCCTGAAGCGATGATTGAAGTGAATCTCTTGCGCTAGATGCACTCGCGAAACCAGGACCATCGCGCGTAGTAATAGTCGGAGATCTAGATGAGGACGGAAAGTGCCGTGCAGGGCGCAGTGGCACCTCAGCTTTCCCTCGAGTATCCAGACCATGCGGACGGGAGACGCGGGTGTCGTGTGAATGTTCAAACTCCGACCTCTCAGCTCTTGGTCCAGTAGGCGGTAATATCCCAGTTGGTAACGAAGCGGAAACATCCATGTGTTCCTTTTCTGGCTTTGCGGTAGTCGATGCTGCAGTGGAGAGTTCATCAAATGGCCTGGATTTGGTGGACGAGGTAAAGGGAGAATCATCGGACGCTGGTTTGGGACTAATGATAGATCCGAAGGCAGGGACTTCTGGTGGAGATGGGGGAGAAGAGCTTTGTGAGATTGGCCGGTCCTTTGGTGCGTCTAAGCGAATTGTAGGATGTTCCTGTCGATCTGGCTCATGCCGAGAATCGCCCGTACTTTGTGCGGGGACTGCGGATTTCCTATTTGAATCATGGATTTCGGGGATGACAGTCCTTTTGGCACTGAGTATAGATGACGACGATGGCGTGGGCGATGCAGGTGGGATGGTCGCTAATGTTGCAGATGTACTTTTGGATTCGGTCCTAGCTAATAACATATCTTTTTTCCACAAGTCTGAGCGTTCAGAAGGCCGGTCTCTTTCTCTATCCTCTCGTTCCGATCGCCGATCATCTTCACGCCTATCGAACCGATCAGAGCGTTCCAAGTCCCTATCTCTATCGCGGTCACGGTCGCGATCACGTTCACGGTCGCGATCACGTTCACGATCCCTCCATGCATCCCTCGAACGGCTCCGTCGTCGGAACGAGTCGCGATCATCTAGAAAGCCCCGACCCCTACCCCGCTCACGGTCGCCACGACCTCGACCTCGCAGAGACGGGCCACGAAGAGGAGATGCATCCTGGACTCCACTCATGGAACCGACAGGCCCATCTCTGGAGTTGCGACGCATTCTTGGCGCATCGGAATCCCGAGGGCCAGGTTCTCTAGAATCGCGAAAGTCCCGTAGTGGAGGTGACCTCGATCTTCCACGGCCAAAAGGAACGCGGGCATCTCTAAAATCAAAACCGCGGTCTCTCCGGGACCAGTCTCTGTCGTTATCCCGTCTGAATGGAGGGAGACCATCTCGCAGATCCCGGGGATCATGATCCCTCTCACGATCTCGAAATTCGCCTCGTGCTAGGAAGCCCCTTCCTCTAGGACCGGAAGGGCCAAAGGGCGCACCCCTTGGCGGATCTATTAGAGCTTTTGGACCACGAGGGGGTTCCCTTCCCAGAGGTGTTGAATTGACATCGTCAGAAACACGAGGGCCAGAAGGGATATGCGAGGAGCCGTGAGGAGCGGAGGGACGGCGGTCGTTATACCGATGTGGTGATCGCTCTCGGGGCGGAAAGCGAGACGCCATGAAAGAAGTTGCCCATTCAACAAAGACCGCTCAAAAGAAACACGAAGTAAAGGGTGTTAGAGCGTAGCTGTCGCGTTGAATGGAGAGTTGTATGATTGCAAAGTGTCAGATCAAGCGTCGTTAAAACGTAGTCGCTCGTCGACGCTTTGGGAAATCCCGAGTAAGAAGCCCACGTGATCTTTAAAATAGCCAAGTCCGAAACCTTGGAAATCTACGGTGATAGCAAACCTTTCCCCTTTAAGACTAGTGGTGTAACTACTGGAGGTAGCATTGAACCTTTGTTCAACCCGTACGCTGTACGGAGTACACAGTAAACAATGAGATATTGGAAAATGGAACAACCAGCGCTGATGGTGAGATATAATGACAACAGATGAGAGAAAAAGAGAGATCCAAAGGTACGAGGCTAGTGAGGGCGATGGCACTTCACGCTGTATTCCGAGAGAGTGTTGGTTTTGCGAATGTGAGGAAAAACAGACGGACAAACACTTGATCGACAGCCAAGCAAGAGAAACCAATAGACTAGTTTGAGGAGCAGAGTTCTGGTTCCATGATTCAAAAGCTCGATGGTAACGAAGTAAGCATAATCCCACTACGAGAGGAGTTATGGGAGGAAGAAGGGGGAAGGGGGAAAATGGAAGAGGTTGATGATGGGGGAAAAATTGAGGCCTTGAAACGGCAATCGGGAAGACCGGCAGGCAAGAGACAGCAGGGGATGGGTCGGAGTGGCTCTCTTAGTAAAGCAGGGAGTTCGTTCTCTATCATTATTCATCCCCATGTCATACCGCAGGCTGCGCAACCTGGGGTCACATGAGGCCTGAACATTTCCTCTCAAGCGCTTCGAATGGATCTATGGAGGGATGCAGCATGCTAGGATATCAAGAAGAATCAACCAGTCACAGGCGTTGATGGGGAGTATTCAACAGGCACTGGCCCAAGTTTGAAGGAAATTAGGCAGTGGACCACGCATAATAACCTGGCGGCTATGGATTACGTTAAAACGATTGACCTTACATGTATTCCAACACTCGTCGGACAAACCAAAACGATACCGCGCAAACAAGGTGTCAAGTATCGATTGTGCACAACCCACCGGCCCAGGCTCGAGTGGGTCGGGTTAGTGCGCCTGTTGTCAGGCGTCTATTGGCTGGAGAATTAAAGACGGGCAGGGATCGCTGGGCCTGGCCAATGGGCCATTGGAGCTGCAACTAGACCGCTTTTGGGTTCGGAACAACTTGAGCTCCGATTCAAAAAAGTGCGGTCTCGTATTTCGGTTCCTCAATCTTTGAATTATTTCTATACATTTTCCTCCCTTTCTTTTCCTTTGTGTTCGCTAATTGCCAGGGGCTGTATGGAAGCTAGCGTCCGGAAAATTGGTGGCATGTTTTGTTCCGAGATTGTCGATAATCTGCCACTTTTCAATGCAGAAGGGTCCGCAAGCCAAAAAAAAAGCTGCTGGTATAGCAATTTTTCCCAGCCAATTGCAACAACCGATCCATTGGCAACTTTTCTCAGCGCCCATACAGAACATTGTACTCTGTGTAGTTCAACGCAGATACCATGACTTCGCAAGCTGCAGGACTTCCCCCCTCGGTCACAGATGCGGTGTTCGTCGCCTCCCAGCCCGTTCCTGAGGGTTCAAAACCGGTTGGGGGCATTGATTTCAACAAGCATGCCGGAAGGGATATTACTGTTGCGGAGTTGGTGGATGGCATGGCTTCCATGGGCTTCCAGGCCAGTGCGGTGGGCGACGCTGCGCAGATCATTAATGAGATGGTATGTACGTGCACACTGCATTCCGCCCCTCCTCACTACCCCTCCGAGGCCTCTCCCAACAAACTTCAAACGTCAATCTTCCAGCGCAACGCCGAGCCAGCCACTGCGGGACATGCCTATTTGTCTAACAGGGTGTTGGTTATCCCTATTTTAGAGAGCCTGGCGCGATCCGGAAACGGGCGAAAGGACCACTGTATTCCTAGGGTACACATCCAATCTTATATCATCTGGTCTACGGGAAACACTGCGTTACCTCGTCCAGCACAAACATGTCTCGGCCATTGTCACTACCGCGGGCGGAATAGAGGAAGATTTTATTAAATGTCTCGCTCCCACTTATCTCGGCTCCTTCGCGACTCCCGGTCCGTCGCTACGGGCCAAAGGCCTGAACCGCATCGGTAACCTGATCGTGCCGAACAGCAACTACTGTGTTTTCGAAGACTGGGTCGTGCCGATTCTCGATAAAATGTTGGAAGAACAGGAGGCGTCACGGGCGTCGACACCAGATGCCCCGCTCCACTGGACCCCGAGCAAGATCATCCACCGGCTCGGGAAGGAAATCAATAATGAAGATTCGGTCTACTACTGGGCGTACAAGAATGACATTCCCGTCTTCTGCCCTGCACTGACCGATGGCAGCCTGGGGGACATGATGTATTTTCACACGTTCAAGTCCTCGCCGCTGCAGCTCCGTGTCGACATCGTGGAAGACGTGCGGAAGATCAACACGATCGCTGTACGGGCCAAACGGGCTGGGATGATTATTCTAGGTGGCGGCCTGGTAAAGCACCATATTGCCAATGCCTGCTTGATGCGCAACGGGGCGGAGAGCGCGGTGTATATCAACACGGCGCAGGAGTTTGATGGGAGCGACGCTGGCGCACGACCGGACGAAGCTGTGTCGTGGGGGAAGATCAAACCGGATGCAAAGAGTGTGAAGGTAGTTATTCATTCATTTTTATTCCTTTTTATTCCTACTTTGTTCCTTTGTTCTTCCCCTTTTTTTCCCTTGCCGTAGGGCCGAACCCCGGCCTCAACGAAAGATCACCGAAACAATTCTAAAACTTACTTGCTGTAGTTTTCTGAGCTGACCATTCAATTTTCGATGGTAATAGGTCTACGCCGAAGCGACAGTGGCATTCCCCCTTATTGTTGCGGCGACATTTGCAAGAGCTTAGGAGCAACCTGGGAATTAGAAGGGTGTTTGGTTGCAAAAGTAATTTGTTTCACCCGACACATCGCCCCTTCAAGTACCTTCATGGCTTAAATAAATATATATATATGTAGAACCGCTGTTGGTACATAGCACCCACCGAGCAGGAAATGACCTCTATGTTCAATGACGTTTTCAACGCTGGCAGAAGATGTGTTCAGATCGTTAAGTTGTGTATGTAGTTATGTATTTGATATCGATTGTTACTCTGATGCCTAGCTAGACCCTCCTTCAAATTCTTTTCCATTTGAATTAGACAACCAAGGATCTATCACAATCAGAAGCAAGGAAGCCAAACGATCGGAGAAGAAACCATGGCAAAAACTAAAATAAAAAATAACAATAAAAATAAATAAAATAAATAAAATAACATAAAATAAAAAAATAAAGGGCCAATGAGAAGCCACATATGTTGCGTCCTACGTGTTTCACGAAATGCGGACACGGGAGAAGATAAGCCTTCCTTGGAAGTCTCATGCAAGGAATGAATAATGCCAAGGATTTCAAAGGGCTGCGCGCTAGGGCTTTTAGAGACACTTACATATATTATTAATTAATTCTTGGTTAATGCATCCAAGAGGAAGGAAATCTTCGCATTGCATGGGTCTTGTTGGGGGAAGCGGCAGGCTAGGGGATCGCAAAGCGAGAGAGCTTTCAGCCTTGAAGGCGGTGTTGTCCTTTTGTTGTTTTTTGATGTTGATGTTTGTTGAATGAAGCCTGGGGTTTTGGGCGGTGTGACTCACGCAGGCTCCACCCGCGCAAGCAAAGCAGTGACAGACTCATCCGTACTGGCTGGCAGTCAGGGTTTGCGCCAACTCTGGTTTTATTATTATTTATTTTTTCCTCGTGAGCGAACAAGCGAAACATCTTCAGCGCACGAGCTACAATAAAACAAGAATAATATATAAGCCAGATGCTCTGGCGGGAAGCACAGTACGGAGTAACTCCATCGCAGAGGAGACAAACCTCTCAGCACAGGCAACAGCCAGCGAATGGTCCCAAAACAGTCCCTGTTGCTTGCTTGTGCTCCACTCTCCTCCAGGCTAAGTCTCCTAGCCAACTACTTAGCTAGGCCCCTAGGGAGATACATATGTACGCTGTCTATCTGTCCTCCCCACTCCCCGGCCCCAAGCTGGACCCTCCCATGGGTGGAGACCGAGGAATCTGGAGAAAAAGTAGCATATTCGGTAGTAATCAGTTATATATGTCATAATATGAAATAATAAGTACAGAACTTCGTACTATATGTTATTATTGAAAGCAGACATGGAGCAGAGTCTACTTACATGGGCGTGATGGATAATATAAGGCTGCAACAGCAGTTTGTTTCCAAGGAGTTTGCTGTCAACTTGTGTCAAAGCAAGCAAAACCTCAACTCTATCTCTGGCTCGAGCCCGTTGGTTGGTTTGCCACTGCCAGTCGGTGGGGTTAGTTAGTGTTAATATCCATGGCATGGGCCGGGGTGTAGTTACTTTAGCTCGTTGGAGGATTGTGGGTGATCCCTGATGACAAGTGATGAGCTTGGTTGACTTGCTGTGGCTTCTGCCTGTGCGAATAATAGTTAATACTTATACATACCAAGCTCACTTAGATGATTGGTGGATGATTGGTGACTGGCTGAACGAACTCAGCTCAGACAGAAGCTTTTGAACGTCCAACGAGGCTCAACTTTGCTCAAGGCAGCCGTGCCCTTTGAGGTTGAATAAATATATAGTTACACACCAGCACAGCGTCACTCGTCGTTTTTATATGGTCTTTAGTGGCAGGAGTTCCAAAAGAGAGATATTGAACACCAGACTTCCAGAGACGAAGAAGAAGAAGAAGAAGAAGAAGTACATGTACTTAAACTCATAGCTTTTCTTGCTCGTTCTTCGAAAAGTGAGGCTTGCAGAGTTGCTGTCCTCCGGCCAATCACGCGCGGGTTGGCCAAATCTCGGTGTGGTCTCGTCTTCTGGTCTTCTCGTCTCTGCTTCAGCTTGCGGCTTCAACTTCAACCTCTTCTCACCCCGACATCTCTTCATCTTTTCATCTCTTCTTCTATCCCCCTCGCCCCATTCACCACCATCCACACTGCTCCTCTTACTCCTCCTTGTCCCCCCAGCCTGTTCGTTTCCTGTTGGCTTGAATCTGTCTCTCACTGCTGCTGCTGCTGCTGCTGCCGCCGCCCTAGCTTGGGCTTGGCCTCTTATCTTCCCTCCCTCAGAACCGTTGGCGATTTCTCTTGCCCGTGAACTTATATTATTTTGATTCGCTTGTTCATCGTTTTTGAGTCAGAGAGCTCCAACTAGGTGCTCACCTCATTTTTAGCCTCCCGTGTTGGTTGTTGTTAGTCATTATATCCGCTCTCAGTTGGCTTCCTGTTGTCTGATGCATATTGAAATACCCCGTAAACCCATCGCCAAAGCTAACTTGCTGAGCCGCACATCTTGATCTCTTTTGCACCCATCACAGTTTTTATTATTGATCTCTTCTTCTTTACTTCCAAATATCCCTTCTCTGGCAGCAGAAACCGCAGCCTGCCAAGTGATCGAACCCGTCAAGCTATGGATGTTGCCCCAGCGCTTCCCCACACTTCGCCCTCGCTCGAACCCTCCCAACAGTCTCGTTCTCCTTTTTCCTCGCAAGCCGTCATGCCTCCGTCTTCTCCTTTCCAATTCGCAACCACTACAGCCCCTCAGAGCACATCCGCCCCAGATCGACCGGCACAATCCCAAAATGTCGACCATTCCGCACACAATTTTTATCCCCCAACCGCTGCCTCCAGTCCTTCTCCCGATTCAGATCTTCAGTCAACTCCGCAGCAACCTTCGCAAGGGGACTCTATGGATACTACCTTAGACATTCCACAACCACAACCACAGCCACAAGCACAACTACAACCAGATGAGAGCTTCTCGAGCACTGTTCTCTCGGAGTCAACTGCTGAGCCTGAAGCAATTACCTCGGTCCCTGAAGTCATGGAAACTGAGCCAGCCCCAACCCCCGAAGTTGTCAATGATGCTGCTCTGCCAATTGTTAACTCATCTTCAACCGATGCTGAGCCTCCTACAACCACGGCTACTGAAGAAATCGTGCCCGCATCGAATGTGACGGGTGCGTTAGACAACGAGAATGACCCCCACGTAGAACCTTCATCGGAACAGCCCTCATCAGACCAGCCCTCGCCTCAAGATTCTGCTGATAGCCCGCCCGAACAGAATAACTCACAGGATGACCTCCAGAGCATTCCCCCAGACTCACCCAGCAGTGAGGAAGAACATGCTTACTGGGCTGATATAGAGCAGGACACTTCGTTCCCCGATGAAGGGGAAATCAAGGAAATTGAGTCTGGCGACGATCACAGTGCCTTGGATTGTAAGTATCTAACACCTTCGCTACCCTTCCAAGATACCTTGGGACCAAAAGAACCAGTCTACGAGACACACTGTAGCTTGCTAACTTGTTCAATGTAATCTGCTATCCAGATGATTATTGGGAAAAGACCTTCTATAGTGAACTTGATGACCCCGAGTATACACCCGCAGAGAAAGCCCGCCTCACCTGGAAATTCAAAGGCGTACGAGGCACGAAGGAAAAACCAAACCGTGCTACTATAATGAGATCACCAGCCGCCTTCATTGGTGGCCTTTACTGGAGAATAAAATTTTTCCCTAGAGGTAATAACGTAGAGTCTCTGAGCATATACGTTGAGTCTTCCCCCACCCCCCCTGAACAGGACAAAGATATCCCCGAGACCGAATTCAAAGTTTTCAAAGGTCCCCCAAATGCCGTACTGAGTGATTTGGTGCCGGAGGTTGATATAACTCTCCCAGCTACGGCTGACTCCTGTAGGGAGGCTCCAACAGCTCCAGCCTCCGCTTCTCAGGACGACGAGAAACAAGAACCTCCCGCTGCAGGTAATACCCAACATATACCTATAGAGGAGCCAACGAGTGAGCAGTCGAGAGAACTTCCACCATCTGAAGCATCCCAGGATTGGAGGGTATCGGCTCAAATAGGCGTCATCGTATACAATCCCAATGAACCTCGAACCGCTTACATGCAGTCCTCGTGTCACCAGTTTAACATAAATAACGTGGATTGGGGCTGGACAACTTTCCATGGCCCTTGGAACAAGATCCATGTACGACAACGGGGCCAGAGGCAAGCTCTGCTTCAAAACGACACTCTCGCCTTCGATGCCTACATTCGAATTATCGACGATCCAACCCAGTCACTGTGGTGGCATTCAAGCGAATGTGAGCCTATCTGGGATAGTTTGAGCCTGACTGGTTATCGGCCCATGGGTGCCTCTAACGTGGAATATAGCTTTGAGGCTGCTGGTTTGGTATCGTGGCTTCTCCTCGCACCTTTCCGGGAAATTATTCAGAGCGTGGACGTCCTGGAACATATCACCACACCAGGTGTTAGACCTAGACCATTGTGCGAGGCCTTGCAGAAGCTATTATGGGTTTTGCGGACACCACATCTACCGCAACTTTCAGTTGATACCGACTCGGTCACTAAAACGCTTCGAAATTTGGAGGAATTCTCAGGGGACGTGATGGAGTTTTGGGAGAGGTTTCGACGCTCACTTGAATTAGAACTGGAAGGGACTGATGCCTTTCAGAAGATGGCAAAAATATTTGACGGTGAGGCAACTGACGAGCAGCCTGACACCGTCAACTGTTTCCGCGGAGACTTCAACTCGAGAATTAAAATTTCGGCGGAAACTTCAAACAACGTGGAATCTGCCGTGAAACAGTATCTCAGCGACAAACCCGGAAAGTGGTCACTGCCTACTGTTCTCCATGTTGAGCTCTCTCGCCAGAAATTCGACAAGGCCAGCCGCCAATGGAAGTTTCTTTCGCGACGAGTTCGGTTAGATGAAGAACTCGATCTGTCGGATCTTGTTGTTGAGCCTCAATCTGGAAAATACAGCCTTTACGGGTTTGTGGTCTATAAGGGCGAGCGGACTTCTGCGCACTACTACAGTATCCTCCGTCCTGGTGGACCGGGATCGCGCTGGCTTGCGTTTGAAAATGAAGGCGACAGCAAGATCGAGTGTCTGACCACCAAGGCGGCGATTGACGCTCATGAAGGCATCTCACCCCACGACGAAATCGACGATCACAGGTCCAGACATGATGTTGCCGTTGTTGTCATGTATGTTCGAAATGACGTCCTGCCCCAGTTCCTGACTGGAAAAATCGAACCGTGGGATATTCCTGAGACAAGACAGTATTTTTTTGAATCTGGACATTTGCCATTCACTTCGTCGCCCTCGGTTGCCGTTGAGGTATATTCCCTCGGTGACCTCTCTCTGGTGGGCAATAACTTATTTGACATTTATGACTTGATGGATACTTCTAGATCCGTTGGTCGATTTCTACATTTTACCCTGCCAGCAAGGACAACAATTGCAGAGTTAAGAGACAAGCTAGCGCTGTGGCAGTCGAATGAGGATACAGAGGTGAAACCGCAAGATATCCGCCTGTGGCGGATTGGCCGTCCAAAATCGTGTTTCGCCCCCACCTCGCAGCTCACAGCTATTCAAGATCTCTCTCAATCCTTGGTGTGTTCTGAGATGGACGTTTTGCGCCTGTGGATGCACGTCCTGACTAAAGGTAAGCTGCGTATAGTTGTCACGTATAACGACCTGAGTGCGTTGAGGCGTTTCTCCATAACCAATTCTAACCGATTATTCTCAGATGGTGCAAAATTATTTGCTGTACCCAATCCACTAGCCCCTGCCGGCGCATTTGAAAATGAACAGGTCGCTGAGGAAATTGCAGAACCCGTGGATGAGTCGAGTAACCCTGTAGATGAATCTCCACTGGAAGGTCAGGATCCCCAGGAAGCCCAGGATGTCGACATTGCTGATTCAAACACCTCTACCGATCTGCTGCAAATGGAGGAAGGTAGTGATGCTACTATGATACCTTCTAGCCAGTCATCCGAAGGCGTACGAGTAGCCGATGAGACGGAGACACCGGGGCCCGAAACCTTGCTGCCCTCTGATAACAACAACTCATCCGATGGCACCCATCAGGATCTCAACAACCCCAGAGGCGAAGATGTTCAAATGACTGACGCAGAGCCCGACGCTAATACCTCGCAGCACCTGCAAACAGAGCCGATTGATGCAGAGGCAAATTCAGAGGACGTAAATATCTTCCAGGAAATTGCGATGGGAGCTGCCAACGAAGCATCCACCGTAACTGACCCAACTGCAGATCCGGTGGCGCAGGCGACCACACCAGAACGGTCGGGCGAATTTCAGGCCGGCGACGAAACTGGCTCAGCCGAACTTGCAAGTACTAATACCGAACATGTTTCTACGCCCGCTCCTTCTCGAGAAGACTCGGTCATGCAAGATGCTGCCCCTGGAAATCCATCGGACGTTTCAACCAACGAGAGCTCAGCCGCAGTTCCGATGACAGGGAACCCAGAGAACGACATCAATGAAATTGCTCCACTGCCACTGGAGAATCTAATTCATCCTCCTGTCCGGCTGACTGCCCAAGTATATTATTTTGTCCAGATATTTGACTTGGAGAAACAAGAATTCCGCTTTGCCGGCGTTTTCTTTGGTAAAAGAAGTAATTCCATTAAAGCTTCAGTTCGTGCCGCTCTTGGATGGCCGGATGATAAATCCTTCAACCTTTGGCATCGTGCTGATTGCATATCGATCTCGTCCATCTCCAGCAAGGAGAGATTTAACACAGTTTTAGCTACCGATCAAGATGGTGAATGTTTCATTGTTGAGGAGGTGTTACCAAAGTCACAGTATGTAATGTCCGACTGTTCATCTTTTAACATGTATTTCTTTCTTTTCTTGTCTTTTTTTTTTCTTTTTTTCTTTTTTTCTTTTTTTTTTTTCTTTTTCCTTTTTTCTTTTTTTTTTCTTTTTTCTTTTCTTTTCTTTTTCTTTGGCATTGCTAATGTTGCAAACTGTGACAGATGCACGAAAATTTCAGAAAGTGGTTCCTTCACCAGTCCCAGTTTGCTAGCTCAGTATCTTCGGGCTTTATCTCGGCGGCATCCAACGCAGTCTTTCACTGGCACGAAAACCATTGATGCTGTTTTTAATGGTGAGTATTATTCCGGGGAATTCAGTAAGGGATACTATCATGGCAAAGGTACTCACATATCAAACTTGGGTGCGACCTATACTGGCGATTTCGTCCTGGGACAACGCCATGGAAAAGGTGTCCTGGAGTCCCAATCCGGCGATACGTACGACGGGGATTGGTTCGAAGATCAGCAAAATGGGCAGGGAACGTTCATAGAACGCAGGACTGGGAACAAGTACGTTGGTGGCTTCCGCGCTGGCAAGCGCCATGGGAAGGGCATCAGTTACTGGGAAGTTGCCGCTGAAGAAATGGGCCTCTGCCAAATTTGCTACAGCGAGGATCAAGATGCACTATTTTACAGCTGTGGCCATGTCTGCGCATGTGTCAGTTGTGCCAAACGGGTTGACAAATGCCCCATATGCCGGAAGAAGGTCGCCAATATCGTGAAGATTTACCGCACTTAAATACGGCCTGGGGTGCTGGCCAGTCTTTTCTACCATCTCATGCCGATTTTGAGAATGTTCAGATGAATGATGCTTCTGGGAATGATGATCTCGCTCTTGTTTTTGCTTGACTCTTTTGGTTTCCTCTCGTCTTTCCGTTTCCTGTTCATTATCTTTTATTCTACCCCCCCCCCCCCCCCCCGGCCCGCTTAAGGTGACATTGATTGCCCGAGCGGCGACGACTTGGTTTCAGCTTGAGGGTTATGCCCGCCTCTGTTTACCTGCTCTGCTTCTTACCTGTTTATTTTGACGACTATGTGCCCGTTTTCGCGCGCCCTTCCACAGTTATTTTAGCGATGATCATTGTTAGCGAATCCCCTTCAAGATCTATATATCGTATCGTAATTCCCTAACCCGTCTTGTTTATCATTTTACCACTCTTGCTTGGTTTCGATCTCCACCTAAAATTCTAGATTCAGATACAGCTTCGTCATTGCTGATTTCGGTATTGTCGGTTCCTTGGAAGCGACCATTTTTGGATGAATATTGTTTCTATGTACATACACTAAGAGTAGAGCGAACTAGTTGTTAATTTGGAAAATGGCTTAAGTTGGAAAAAAGAACTTGGTTATAACTCAGCGTGGTTTGCGCCCCCTGATCTCTTTCCACAACAACATTAACCTAGTCAGTTGTCTGAATGCGAGAGTTTTCATCTAGATCATATTTTAAAACGGTGAAGAAAAATTCCGTTGACAGAAATGGATCTGACATGTGTGTAAAATGTGGCCCATGTACCCTCCGCGCCAGTGAGAATGAGCAATAGTGTCGCAATAGCACAGGCACGGATTATTAGAAATGATTAATATTATCGAAATACGTAACATCCAAATGAACATGGACTGTCTAAGGTATATGGCGCGGATACCACTATACATTTATCGATGACTGATACCCTATTTATTCCCCCCCCCCCCACCCCCCAAGGCCTGCTCCTTTGTGAGACCTTCTCTCCCTTGTTTCGTCTCTTCTTCAGCCCCCGTGAGCAGTGACCACGGACATCATTTTTTCTTGTTTTATCTCTTGGATTCTTTGGTTTTTTTTGGTTTCCCCTTCAGCACTGCCTTAGGGTTCAGCCCTTTTCTCCGCAGTTTATTTCGCTCAGCTCTTGCAATATATGTCGCATCTTCTTCCTCGTCAAAAGGTCCGAAAGGTTCGTTTTCAATCTGCTTCTCCTTCTCCTCGTCTATAATAGGAGCTCTGTCAACCACTTCCTCCGCCTCCTCGATTTCGGACTTGGATCCGTTTGTACTTGATTTCTCCGCCGATTTAGGACTGGGGCCCATTTTCTTCAGCTTGCAAACATAGAAGCCATCAACGTTTTCCCGATGAGGGTAGTAGCGCCTCGTGAGCGGCATTTTATCGTCAAACTTCTTTCCCATGTAACTCTTAAAGCCAGGGCTTCCAAAATTTCCCAAGCCAGTATCCACGATCTTGACATTAGGTCGCTTGCGGAGAGCATACTGTACAACCCCTTCGTTTTCTTCCACGGTCACACTGCAAGTAGAGTACACAATATATCCACCGGTTTTAGACGCGTGATCGGTCGAATCAATTGCCGCTAGGAGCAGTTGCTTTTGCATATGTGGCAGTGCAAGAAAATCACGTTCGGTCTTCGAGGTTTTGATGCTGGGATCCTTTGAAATGACACCCGTTCCCGAGCAAGGCGCGTCAAGTAAGATACGGTCGAAACCACCAAGGATCTTGGGAAAGGCTTCTCGCGCGTCGAGATTCGAGACGATTGTGTTCTTGCACCCGAGGCGGTGAATGTTGCCAATCAAACCTTTAGCACGGGGTTTACTTGCGTCATTTGCAAGAACACATCCGGTGTTTCGCATTAACGCTGATATGTACGTCGTTTTACCGCCGGGTGCAGCAGCCATATCGAGAACGCGCTCATTTGGCTGTGGCGCCAGTGCCATGACAGGAAGGAAAGATGATGCAGCTTGTAGGATGTAGTGGCCAGCAAGATATTCGGGAGTAGCACCTAATGGTACCGCAGATTCGAAGACCTGTAGCCCAACTTTGGACCATTTGCCTACCGGTTCAAGGACGACACCACGGTTAATCAAGGCTTGGGCGAGAGAGCGGCGGTTGGTTCGTAGCGTATTTGTCCTAATAACAACTGGACGGGGAGATTCGTTTGCTTCGAAAAAGGCGAATGCTTCACGGGGAGTGAACAGGTTGAACAGTTTTTCAGCTAAGTATGGAGTGTAACCGTAATAGGTGCAAATGTCGGATATGAGAAGGTTGGTATAGTCTGCTCGGGACTTGCTAGGCCGCCCAAGTGTGGATAGATCACCAAGTATGCGAATTGTTTCTGTAATACGGCTCCGAAGAAGCTGGAGGTCGGGAGCCAGGCCGATCTGTTTCTGCGCTTGGTTGTCAATCCCGAAGACGTCCACACTATCACCCGCGATATTGGTCTGAATGGCAGACTCTTTAAGTTCTAACTCGGCATGTTGCCCTGTAGCTTCTGTTTCGAGATCTAGTTTCCTTGATAGTCCTTCAATATTGGCGGCGGTAAGCTTTTCCTCCGCATCAGAGATATCTTCGTCTTCCGAGAACATGGCCTCTCGAGGATGGTCCTCTTCCGAGTCAAACGCTGAATCCAAACCCCCATCGCTATCTGAATGTTGGGAATCCGATACCTGGTCATCTTCAATATCGCTGACATCGTCGAGATCTTCGAACTCATCCCCCGGCAGGTCCTCCGCACCACTATCGCTGGTACCTAGCTTCTCCAATTCAACAAGCTTCTTTTTATTATCTCTGACAGCAGGCTTCATTGCCTTGACAACATTTCTATCAAGAGAATTCCGTGGCCTGGAGTGTTTTTTATTCTCTGTGCGTCGTTTTTTCCCCTCATGAACAGTAGCATCGTCGAGATCTGAGGGCTTGCGCCGTTTCAGAGATGAAATCTTCGATTCGTCCAGGGCCGGGGGAGGGCCCTGTTTCTTCATCCGTCGTCCCACACCCATTTTCAACTAGGGATTGGTTTCTTTGGGCTGAAAGGGGAGTAGTAAATGGCTAAGAGCTTGGAGCTAGATTGGAAGGTGATGGTGAACGATCCACCGCTCCTTTTTGCATATCTTTTATATCTTTTTCCTTTTTTTTTCTGATCCGGCAAAATTAAATTTCAAGGCGCCGGAAAAACCGACCGGCGAAATATGCCGTATTTGGATAGACATCCCAACCCATTGATTGATAAGGCTTAACTACATACAATATTCAATAGCACATTGCAATACTCCTCCTGTACGTTGCCTCTGATTTTGTTCGCACGGTCGCTTTCTAAACTGAAGCTGAGACACACATTATTACTTGAGCTGGCCCTTTCGTGCCAACCAACCCTCCACTGATAGGCCAGCAACTACGCTTGGGAGGGCCCATAGTAAAATACCGCACATCATGGCAGAGCTTACTTTTACCAAATCGTTCCTCGCGGCACTCGATACGCGGCCCGTGAAGCTTCCTGGTGATTATGTCTTCGACCCCAGCAGCTTCTCGGCTCCACACCCGGTAAGAGAAAACAACTAGCCAAGAATCAGTGATCAGATCCCTAAAACCTGACCGATGCCTCTGTTATCCCTCAGTACACCCTGCCCCGCCTCTCTGATTTCCACCCCCCGATGCCCAAGAAAAGAAAACAAACGGCGACTCCAGGGTCATCAAAGTCAATAACCATTCACTTGAAGTCAGCCAGAAATCCGACTCTACATGTGACGCTGGATAATTGCGCCATATCTTCAACTACAGTCAAGGAACTTCGGGAAACCGTCCAAGAGAGGGTCCAGACGGCAGACAGTGAGAAGAAGCCTAGCCGTGTGCCTCTGGATAAGATAAAGATATTATGGAAGAAGAAGCCTGTGCAAGGACAGACAATAGCGGATATTCTAGGAAGCGATTCTACCGCACTCTCGGGGGGAAAGGAGATCGAGCTGGGTGTCATGATTCTCGGTGGAGCTACACTTGCCCCTGTAACTCCCAAGGCGGAGGAAAATGTCCTCTTGAAAGAACCGTCCGAATCACTTCCTGCTCAGGGTCCGGTGGAAAACCACCCAAGTACCGCGCAGGATGTTCTGTCGACTGAGGAGTTCTGGGACGATCTAGAGTCCTTTATGACGTCTAAAGTGAAGGACCCGGCTCAGGCATCGCAGATTAAATCCATGTTTAGAAAAGCGTGGACTTCCTCCCAGTAGCTTATGTCTATAAAATATTTAGTTCGCCTTGGTGCGAATGTATTAGCTTTTGTTTACTGTGAGATCCCGATCTCGTTACGGCTGGTATGGTTATGACGTAGAACGCATGTGGAGCATTTCACATTCATATATATGTATATATTAATTACTTCGCTCCGAGAGGAAAGCAACGATGGTGTGATTTGAAGTGCCTTTGAGCGGTGGCGGGAATACAAATAGAAAATATGTTAATACACAGAAGATAACAACAGAATATAAAGTTTCGCTTACCCTGTCATCAAATATACAATCGCATAAAAAGAAAGAAAAAGAAAAAGAAGGAACGAAGCAGGATGTAAACACCACAACGCTTCCCTGACAGTTGATAGAGGGTATTTAGGTATCGTCAGGAGGCATGAAGTATAGGCGGATATTACATATGGCGGCCATCTGAGTTATTTTCAATAGTGTCCAAGAAAATGTGCAAACGCGCCGGGGCCAAAAAGGCAGTCAGAAGACGGAAGCGGGAGGGGGAAATAAAAGGGGGAAGGGGGAGAAGAGTGGGAGTAGCAAGACAAGGGACATGAAGTTTATGACAGCTGAGGTTGGACATACAATATAGAATGGGAACAAAGAAAAGAGCCGCGCGGAACATTGGTTATAACACTAGGGCTTACAGTCCCATTAAATTTGACCGTGAAACCCAAGCAACAAGCACCAAACAAGGCAACGAGACTGAGGGGACAAGAACTCCGAACCATTTATCATTATCTCGCGAAGACCTTAACCACTCCATCCCCACCCCCGCTCACAACCCATCGTCCATCTTGACTCCAAACTACAGAGCAAACACCCTCTCCTCGCAGAAGTCGATGACTGGTAATCTCCTGCGCACAATTCCGCTTCTCTAGTGACCAGAAGCGTAGGCTTGCATCATGACCTGCAGAAACGAGCTCGCGACCATCTGGAGAGAGAGAGAGAGAGGAGATTGCAGCAGGGTGGGCGAGCATAGTGTAAGTGCATTGACCTGTGAAGAGTTAGTAAACCTTAAATTGGGAAATCCCGAAGCTGGCGACGAGATGATGAGATCGTTCATACCACTATTGGCATCAAAAAATCGAATATAACGGTCTTCATAGCCACTGATAACAACGCCTTCGACTCCACCACTAGTGCCAGTGGCCCCATGCACAATGGTTTCTTCTTCTGCCAAAGCTCTGTTGGGGTCCAAGTTCACCGTCCCATCAAACCCAACCGTGCTTGCCACTACAGAGTTAACGCCAGTCGCACGAGTCCCGTCGTAAGTTTCCAAGCTAGCCATCCCAACGATTTCTTCCCCAGATCGAGTGTCATAGATAATGATGGAGGCGTCCGCATATGAAACAACAAAGTTGACGCCAGCAAGTGACAAGGGGCTGATAGACGTAGGGGAGGGAGAATTGGACCGGATTATGTGATGAATCAACGTGTAGTGAAAGGGTGTTGCACTTGCAGTGCTTGGCTGCGGCGAGGAAGGGAAGTTTGAACCAGAGGAGATTGAATTTGCTCTTCGACTTCCCCCAACCCTTCTATTTCCAGCTTGTGGAGAGGCCAGTTGGGGTGGAGCACTCACAGCCCATATCAACACCCTCCCGTCGGAGCCTCCCGATGCAAGGATTATTCGATCGGGACCACCGGAATGGCTGCATTGATCGCCAAGGATAGATCCTGCAGTACCTGGAAGAACACACAAAGCCCACACCGAATCTGTATGTGTATCTAGAGAGGCTTTCGGGTCAACTCGACCCCTTTCCCACACTTTAACGCTTCCATCCTGACCGCCCGAGAATACCCAGCCATCTCCAAGAGCACGACCACCGCTCGAAAAGTTGGGAGCAGGAGGGCATGCTGCCAGGCAGGTGACTGGACCCGAATGCCCACGATGAGTGAAGTAACTCGTTATATCAAGGTCATTATTTGGACTGCTACTATGGGGCCCAAAGCTACCATAGGATGCTGGAATAATCCAACGCTTGATTGTTCCATCATCGCCGCATGTACATATTTCCGGTTCTGATGGGCTGCCCCCACCGGTAAAGATAACGGATCGAACAACATCTAGATGGCCGCGCAACGCGAATCGAACTTTGAAGTTCAACGCGTCAGCCATTAGTCCGCTCAAGGTACCTAGCTCACGAGAATCGGTCGTCCCTTCGCTGTGTCGCCTTCCTGAACTTTTCCTCCTATGAGATCCCGGTCCTCCTCTAGGCGGGGATTTTGGGGGAACAAAATTAGCCTTAGGGAAAACATCCGTATCAGGTCGATGATGTGCTCCGCTTGATGGGGATGTAACATTCACTGGAGGTTCATCAAAATTCCAGCCATCGGCATCATCGGATAAAGGTTCCCTGGGGACGGTGGGTTGAGGTGAAACAGAAGCGGGGACCTGCTTTCCATACGAGTCGAAAGTATGCGTAATTGATTCCACCTCTTCATCAGTAACAGGGGGATGATCAAAAGGGTCGTTCCGGCGATCCATGGGGATAGGATGTGGACGTTGCTGGTCGAATGGATGCCCTTCAAGTTGTTCTTGCTGGCTTTGATTCGACTGGGGTCGGCCAGCATTGAGATTTTCAGAATAACTAGACGCAAGGGGTTGATGTATCGACGGCTCGCGGACCATATTTACGTGATTTTGTTGCTGTTGCTGTTGTTGGTGTTGGATTTTCTGTTTTTGCTGGTGCTGATATTGATGTTGTACATATGCGTCTTCAAGGGACGGTCTCTGCATTTGGTGGTTTTGATACCCATGATCCGACATTTCCTGCTGGTCCAGTAATTCTGGAGGAGGATGGGAACCAGGGATTATATGATAGGCAACTTCCTGGGAACATTTTCCAAGATACATGCGAGACTTTTCACGTTCTGAGTCCTGACGGACATCTGGGTTGGACGAATTTTCAACGTTACGATTGGGGTCGATTTGGGCAATATTAGGTGCTGATCGTTCTATCGGGCTCATCAGATATGATCCAAACGGAAGTAATAGATTTTCAAGGGGAGAATATCATACGTTTTGGTAGCGCTTTGAGGTTTTCTTTGGCAAGCTCCTTTGAGTCCTTGGTCACGTCGACAGCCTCTCCTGCAGATAGGCTCTTGACTTTCTCCCGTTCTTTTTTCAAAGCAGCCTCAAGCATCTTGACATGTTTGCCTAACGTCTCGTGCATTCGCTTGCTAGTACGGGCATCGCCCTCTAATCTACCAATTCTCGACTTCATTTCAGCACGCTCAATCTCCCACGCATTTCGATCTCGCTCATGTCGGTGCCATTCAGTCTGTAGGAACCGCATCACACCTGTAGAATAGGGCGAGAGGTTAAAAGGAGGTGAGTAGAATTCATAAGAAATAGGTCGATTGACATCAACCAAACAATAATTGACCAGATCCCCTCCTGTCCCTAGAAGAAAGGAAGAAAGTAGTCTAGAGGAGAGAGCCCACCTTGCAACGTGTATTCCGTGCCCTGTTGATGGCCCATGTGAGCAGAAGCACCATCACTCCCTGCAGCCATTCCCCCGTTCCCAGCCATGGCAGATGACGGCTGCCAGGCCATTCAAGAGGTCCTCCAGTCCTGATAGGGCTAAATAGCTTGTTGTAAGCGTACACCCTTCTCCCTTTGACTTTTCCGTTTCTACAGGTATTTAAGAAAAAAGTCGCGGTGACAGTCAATTGCGTGGATACCAGGGACTAAGGGGCATGGAATTGCGCCGAGCGAACGAGCTCGTAGAAGGGGGGAAATAGGCGCAGGCGGATGCAATAGCAAACTAGCGCTATATAGATGGGGAAAGTAGGTAACGGAGGCGTGTGAAGATAGTTGTCCGTCGAGTGCCCGTGTCTCGTCTGTCGTTCGTCGTCGATTTTGAATCCGCGCTGGCTGAACAACTGAAACTGCGTCGTCCTTTTGCTTTTGCTTGCAGTCCAGCCACGCGAAGAGGAAAGGGTTGAGCTAGCCTGTTTGGGGGGCACGGTGACATGATTCTCCGGTCCGATATGGTCTTGGCCGGGGTACGGTACAATCCGTGGCTGCCGAAAGAGGAATAGCGGCCCAGCGAGCCGTTTTGGGTCGGAGAAAAATCATGCTATGTGTTAGGACTCGGTTACATGGATATCGGGGTGACAGCAGCTTCATATTAGGATGTAATATTACTGATTCTTGAAGAAGAGAACTAGATAGTAGAGAAGCAGGGAATGAGTATAAGACACTGCAGTGTCTATGAGTCACATAATGTGTACATAAGCATGTTCTAAGTTCTAGACCTTACACTCTGCCTTCTCACCTCTCTCATCTCTCTCCCAGAGTGATGAGATTATTATATTATACATGTGATATAGATAGTAAGATATACAGACAATTAGAGAATTAAAGTATACAGTAGTGAAAAAAAAAGAAATAATAGAAACAGTGAAATCAGTAGAACATATTCTATTCTATTCTGAGATTCTAGTGAGACACACTCTGTTTTAAAGTTTATATAAAGTAGCAGAAGTCTCTGATTCTACTTTTAAAACTTATAGCAGAACATACTCTGCTCTACTTCTTAATAAGATATACTTTATTCTATTGAGAATGAAGAGACTTATTATAGATTATTCTCATAATAGTAGTTAACACTGTAATATTATATCTGAAAAGAGTTAAGTATATCAGTATATACAGAATCTGCTTGTAAGATATCTGATACTGAGTTTATTACTGATAATTGTTAAGATCTTATTAAATAGCAGATGTAGAAGATATTAAGATATGACTGAGTATTAAAGAGATAGTTATAATTTATTTATTTATTAAATTAAAAACTATGAATTAGTTAATATACTAGATATTTCATTCAGTTCTCTCAGATGAGCTTGATGTTAAGTATCTCTTAAATATTATTATCATTATTCAGATCAGAGTGTAGAGTCTCTGAAAAAATATACTGATTATTAAGAATGAATAAGTAATGTAATTCTAGAAGTGAGAGATGAAATATATTATATATATATATCACGCTCCCAGCCGCGCCAAGATCTTATTGCGGTTTCACACAGCTTATCACTTTCATGCAGATGATTTCATTCTGTTTAAATCAGTTTTCAATCACTCTATAATATTATTCAGATATATTATAGAAAGATCTGATTAATAAATATAAGAACTCTGCTTCTATATAAGATTAGTAGATTACTTTTTCTTGATAGTGAGATACTGCTAAGATATCACTTCAGCTATTCTTGTTTATGAAATAAGAGAAGAGTATTTACTCATTATCTATATAGAATAGCTAAATACTGACTTCTTATAAAAGAAGTTAGTAATTTGTTTTTTTTCTTCTACTGAAATATATATAAGAGTTACTGTATATTTTATATAATCTTCTTAATATACTAAGTATTATATCTGTGATATTCTTATAATAACTCTGTAGTCTATAAGCTTGCTATTTAAGTAAAATAGTTAAGCTTACTTATACAGCTTTTTAAATAACTATTTCTATATAATATTACTGACTAGTCACTACTTCAGTTCTATTATATTATAATTTAAATTACTTAATCTGATTATAAGTTTAAATCAGTTAAGCTCTAATAAGACTGATATAGTCTTATATATCTACACTGAAACTGACCTGATCTCACTCTCTGAGAGAAATACTATATTATTCTCTAGAGTGTGTACATCTCTATCTCAGCAGAAATCTGAGATTTCTGAAACTACTGTATATTTTAATATAAGCTTTTTAACTGCTCTGTTATCACTGCAGTCTCTATATACTTATATCTAGACTGATCATGTAACCGTGTCTGAGACCAGAACTAGATTTTTTGATATTCTTATTACCAACTCGACTGATCTCATTACATAGTTTTAACATTAGATAGTAGTCTCATACTGTCTCAGTGAGACTTACTGTCTACTCTTGTCACATTTTTCAAATGAGACCATGATTTCCACTTCTCAATTTAAATTATTTTTATTACTTTAAATGACTTTAAATCTCATTTAAGTGTTATCAAAAAGCATTACTTTTTAAAAAATTAAAAATAGTCTAAAAAAAACCTTAAAATGTCTAAAAATAGTAACTTTATGTCAAGAATGAGACTAAATGAGATCAAATGAAATCACTTTCTCATTTTTTTCAAGTCATGGTTCCATTTTAAGATCTGATATATAGTCACTTTGCATGTTTTTTTGATAGCCAGTCTCAGCGGGATTCACGCTAAGAAATGTATGAGATCAGATCAAATGAGATCAAACGTGAAATTCATGATTCTGATGACCAGTCTACTTACATCTATTATAAATATAGAGAGATCAAGATTGAAGATTCTTTAAGATATAAGAGAAATATATTATCTGAATTTCACAGCTTTATCTGTACTCTGAAACAGAAATTCTGTCTTAATCTGTGTCAGTATAATACTTATAAGATATAAGTAATATACACTGCTAATCTTCTTAAAGACATCTCTGTAACTACTTAAATTATTAAGAAGAGAGAGCTTAAGTGTATTAATACTATTATAACTTAAGAAGAATTCAAGAACTTTCTACTGAATTAAATTAAAGATTACTATAACTGCAGTTTCATAGTAGTATAGTAATTCAACTTATTATATTAATAAAATAATAAGAATTCTTTCAATTTCAATATAAGATTTAAAGAATATTAAGAGAAATTGACTGATAATTTGAATTAATTAAAAAATATAGCTTTATCTTACAAAGTTGATTTATAAGATATAGATAATAATATTATAATATCAGAGTTTATTAATTAATTACACTGAGCTTATTAATCTGATTTCTCAGATCTATTTAAATAATTAATTCTTTAAGAAAAAGATTAATAAGATCTCTTTTAAGTAATTAATAATAGAATCTAAACAGTGCTGTAACAGCTTCAGTGCAGAGAAAGTAAAGAAGAATTTCAAGTATTCTGATTCTTTACTTACTGTGAAGAAATATTAAAAAAGATTTGATAAAGATCTCTATTTTAACTGTGAAGCTGATAATTACTATATCAGTGATTGTAAGAAGCTGAAGAAGAAAAGAAACTAAGAAAATATCTTCTTAAAGTTAACTTCTCTTCTAATAAATATATCTGGAGAAGATAAAGAAGAGAAAGAAATAAAGAATTAATAATTCTCATATTTTCAAGTTTATATTATAATTACAATACATACTCTGAACAGAGAGATATCAGTGAAATATCTACTTAACTTCAGAATGAATGTTAATTTTATATTTTATTTCTTTTCTTTAATAAAGAATTGAAAGAAGATAGATTTATCAGATTATATAAAATTTACTGATGAAATAAAATACTATTATTTTAATATAATTCAAGTGAAGTATGTGATCACAGACTCAGAAGAAATCTTTAAGAAGAGTAGTCTACTTCTTTATACAGTTAATATTATAGATGAGAATATTATTCTAGATCTTCTATAATTAAGAGAAAACAATTCTCTCATTGACTAAGTCACTCAGATATGATAATACTATCTCACTAATAAATTATTATTATTATTATTCTTCAATTATAGATGTATGCAGTCAGAGACTATGACATCTACCTGAGAACTTTTAGTTCTCAGGGTTTTTCCTATATCTGTAAAGTTAACTATTATACATTCATCAAATTCAGATATGCAAAATCAGAAAATTCCAGCTCAGAATACAAAAACTGTTTACAAATTGCAGTATTTTAACATCTTCTGATACTTTGAAACCATTTGACAATATCATGACAAAGGAAAAGAGAACACAGTCTTAAAGATAGACACATTAAATAGATAGACAGAAAGAAATTAAAAGGAAAAGATAAAGTAAAGAAAGACTGTAACAAAACAAATTATTAAAAGATAGTATATAGCTGTTTTAACAGACTATATCTGATTGATTTCCTTCTCTTTATATTCAGATAATTCTGAATTTAGTCATTTTCTTGTAGCTGCTTGAGTTTCTGATAGAAAGTCTATTAAATATTTAATTCCTGTCTCAGTTGAGAATAAGAATCTCATATTTAATTGATTTAGATCATACTTCTCTTTCAATCTGACTCTGAGACTATTGTATAATGCACAGTGTATTACAATATACTCAGGATTCTCATTTGCATTGCAGAATGAGCATTCTATTGAGTTAAATCTATCATTAAATCTTTATATATAAGATTTGAAATAGCCATGTTCTAGTTTCAGCTGTATTATAGATGAGAATATTTTCTTTTTACATTTAATTGAACAAGATTTCCACTTGAGTTTTGTTTCAAATCTTGAATAATGTATACTCTTCTTTTATTTCTGCCAGCTTTCATTTCACTTGTCTAAACAAGATTCTTTTATTTTTCTCTTTATAAAAGACCAGGACACAACTTTTTGAATAGATCTGCTTAATTCTGCACTCTTTTTTGCAGCTGAATCAGTCAATTCATTGCCATGAATATTTATGTGAGCAGGAACTCAGTGTAAATGAATTATCAGCTTTGATGTTCTTCTCTTTTGAATTTTCAAAACAGAGTTTAAGATCAGTTCAAGATTCATTTGATTATTATGAATCTGACTATTTCTAAGTCTTTTTAAAGCAGCTTGACTATCAGAGAATATTCATATCTCTTTCAAACTATTTTCTCTTTTATGAGATTTTATTTCTATGAGTTTGAAAGCTTTCACTATTGCAAATAGTTCAGTATCAAAGACTTCAGATTCACAGCCTAGATTTCAGAAATCTGAGATAAAATTGATATTATCTTCAGTATAAGCAATGCCTGCATCTAATCTATTCAGATTCTCATTCTTTGAGTCATCTGAATAAATCAGAATAGAGTCTTTTATATTGATTGTAGAAATTCTCTTCAAATGCTGTTCATATTCTTTCTCTTTTGATAGTTCACTTATTTGTAAGTCTATAAGAGATTCAAGTTTTTCTCTCCAGAGAGATAACTTCTCATGATTCACTTTTTCAATATTTAAAGAAGAAAATTGATTTTTAATCAGAGAGTATAGTCTGTAAAGTTGAGAAGGCATTTTCTTTGAAGAATCATTTTCATTTCAATCAAGAAATCTATTCCAATTCAGTTCATTTCCAGAGTTAATTAATGGAAATGAACATAAGACTCTTTCTCTGATTATATGATTTGAGC